AAGGAGTAGATTGGGGGCGAGACTGATTTCAGGCTATGTTTACGATTAATACCGGTAAGGGCATGACGTCAAAATATGACTCCACCAATAGGCTTCTTGAAGGGTCTAGAAGGGTAGGCTTAGAGGTAGCACAGAGTCCAAAAAATATTCTGGGATATAACAAGGTATATGGACTTGAAGTGATGGCCCAGATGGCACTCATACCGTACGTTGTCTATTCGACGACCCAGCCATTTGGATAAGCCTTCAGCGATTACAACATGCAGTTGCTTTGACAGAAGACAAAAGTACTACAAAAATTATGCTAAATTCTACGGTCGTTATGTTGAGCTCAACTTTTTCTTGCATTTAGCAGCGAACTTTGTGCAAAAATATCACTATGGGCAATTGTGAGTATTTAGGTATTGGTACCAATGAAATTTATTGTAATCAGTAAAAAAGGATAGGTCTGTGAGAAGTGGCATAAATTTTATTTATTTGTGTCGTTACCAACATTGCAGATCAAACTCAATTGCCCATCCTTGGCGTGGCTGAAGCGCTTGGTAAACTGATGTCTATCATTGGTCGCAAAGTGGTAAAGGGACTGTCAGTTAGGGCCAGAGGCGAAAATCGATTGCCTGAAGGCATTCAGCAGTCAAAGAAAGACACTAATGCGACATACCTTAAGAACTCTTCAATAAGTGTCGATGTTATGCGATCGACTTCCACCGTGATGCCGCTGTCGCTTCCTTTTGCCAATAAGCATCTCGAGTGTATGTCTCGACCGGCGGATACTAAAAAATCTCCCTTTTATCTGAGGGAATTGACGCTTCCTTTTGCCGATAAGCATCTCGAGCGTATGTATCGACTGGCGGATACTAAAAAAGTCTCCCTTTCTATCTGAGGGAATTTGAGGTGACTATAAATTAAGTCAAGCTCCAGAAAAAGCAACAGCGCGTCTTTCGTGCGGTCTCCAAGCAAGGAGGCTGTGCTAAAAAAATTGAGCACGAATGTGTAAAACCTAGATATCCTAACTTAATTTGACATATTGCGGAGGCTTAACAGGAGTATCATAGGCGTTTTGAGTTTTAGTCCACTCACCAATGGGAGGTAGGTGGACGGCGGACTGTTCAATGCTCGGTGGAAATGCGGCAGCTTTACATCAAAAGGTGGTATTCGTCCCCGTATTAATGAAAATTCGGCTATTCGGTGTGGTTTGCGTCGAGATGTTACGCGTCAGATGAACTTCGAGCGAGGCAACAGTGGGTCTCAAAAAATGCAAAACACCACCTCTGTATTGCGGTGACCGGAGGGTAATTGGAGGTGAAAGCTTTACGCGCGCTAGAGATGATAGGCTTCAGCTGCGCTGAGAAGGAAGAGAGGGAATGATTCTTGGCTGCCAAGGAATTCCGAGGTACTTGCAAATCTCCCATCTATGGTATAATCAAACACCGACACCCCTTCTCTCTTAATCATGGGGTATGGAGGGTTCAGCTCCCACACATGGTCATTCGACGAATCTGTTGTGGGTAAACGCTGACTTAGGACGACATTCTATGTTTGATGTGGCCACGGTCAATGCAACCTAACCTATAATAAAGACGCTCGTTAATACAGGTGTGGCTCGCAGCATTGGGTCGTTTGAAAACGCATACGCATTACGAAGAGGAGATTACACTTACATGTACAGTAGCCGTGCGTCTTGCGATAAGCGCGTTTGTGAATGCGTCCAGAGTTCTTGTAAGGCATAGCTGACTGTGAAGGACTTTGACCGCGTAGAACGGCGTCAAATCGTGCATTTAGATCTCGTCATAGGTGATAGATCGTGGCTGAAGCGCTAAGACTAGTGGATTGACTGCGAAGTCGGAAAACATAGCTGCTATGTACTACATTTCTCGCAGAGCATTGACAAGTTATGTTCATCTCTGCAAGAATGCGAAAGAGTATTTAGCACGATAACGAAGCTATAACAACTTCGGTGCAGCATATGGAATTGTCCGAACAGTGTCAAATATGATATTGATACGTGTCTTGAGCTAAGCATGGAAGGTGATGCGTCAGTAAGTCGAGAGATAGGAAAACAATATTGCGGTCTCTAGAGTATATCGTTGCTACCTGAGGGGTGATGGACGGTGTGATGTTGAATCTGGATGTAACAGGCTATACTTAGCCTCTACATGAACTTACATTCATATACCTTCTGTAGGCATTGTGGGAATTAAAAACGATTACAGTATGATGTTCCCGAATGCGGACGTGATTCCTTATATGAAGCCACAAACATTTTGTGTGATACACAAAGCTGGTTCTTACTTGGGGGTCTGTAGTGGTGACGAGACCGACGAGTCTCCGTCTTTCAAAGTCGATGACGTAAGTCAGCCCCTTCTACTGAGTACTTTCGACAAAGGTTGAAGTTCAAGCTTCTTAAAATTCAAGCTCCGTACACTTACAATCTTGTATCAGTTAATTCTGAAGCTCAACCTCAGTACATCTATGCTTGATAAACCAATAACCCAAGATTTTACTATAAAGGCTCTTGGAGCCCTTGGGGTGTTTTGCATGTAGCTAGGAGCCATAAAATATTCTAATTCTGTTGCAAATTTGCCTTACAGGCATTTAGTCGTTCTTCTCCCCTTCAAGTCAAAACTGTCTTTCTCCCTCCGCGTCGAGAATCGCTTCCTCGTCGCACAAGCGTGTGTGTGCTGTTTTTGAGGGACTGTATGTGAACAGCGCGCTCTTACACTGGAGTTTAGTGAAAGGATCGGGACCTGACTTTATCAAGAATATTTTAACTTTGGAACGCTGTAACGGTATTACTGAGTCAGCAATCCCGGGCGCCCACCATGCGGAGCAGTGAAGATCCACGGGTCCAGGTGAGAGAAATAACTTACATATGAATTAAATGATCGGGGTGGTCCTATATCTATCTTTGCCACTCTCGATAAACAGGTATTGAGCCAGAGAAACTGGCCAAAACAAATTTGGCAAAGTTTTGCAAGACGGTGGAGTGAGACAGCTGGCATCAATGACCATACCGATCTTTCTATTTTTTAATGGAAAATATCCCATGATACCCATCACGTGTGTTGCCCGAATCATAGAGTGCGCCAAGAGATCGCATTTGTTTCCAGAGCAATAATATTGCGACTTACGTCATTGATGTCATCAAGGTTACAGTGCGACGTCATAGACGCATTGTTTTATGTGCGTTACGATCTGAAATTGTTTCGAGTCAGTTGATCCTTACACAAAGCATAAAATTCTGTTGTAGAATTGCTAACAGCAAGTTGCAAAGCATGCTTTTGAGAAGTGAAAGGTATCCGCCATTTCGATTCAAATTCTTTTTCTGATTCGAATATGCTATGGAATCGCATAATTGGTCGCAATTTGTTCAGCGTTCTTGATCAAAATAATGGGTTTTATCGACATCTCATGAGAGACAGCGACATCCTCTTGCCGGGACAAGTAATTAAAGGTGGGGTGCTCTTGAAATGGCTTGTTATGCCATGGATATTTTTAAATGGACCCGCGATGTTCGAGTCTTGAGAACGCAGCTATTCGAGTCGCATCATGGCTATGTACATATATAGATTTGACGACATAACCAGTTAAGTCGTGCAAAGAACGGGAAGTCGAATGTGGTCAATTACAATCAATGCTGAGGGGCAGTGTTTGAGTGTGTGCGCATTTATAAGCCGTTCACCCCTTCCCGGTTGCTTTATTGTAGACCATGAGCTGCGGGCTGATCCCACAAAGATTGAGGCTGTTGCAGTTTGGTCAGTGCCTGGACTGATGAGAGTCGCTTGGTCCGATCAAATACTTTACGAGTGTAGTGCAAAATTAATTCAACTTGTACCGATCTGCGGGAAGCTGATGCCAAATGGTAAATCAGGACTTTCAGCTTTCTCCACCACCTTGGACGATTTAATGATAATTGCGTCGACGATTGGTACCCTGCTGAATTGTAAATGTTGGCAATAAGTCAATGCTAGTTGTGTGGAATAACGGTTTACCACTTATTGTCGTGAGGCAAGAATAGGCACCTTTCGGTTGTGTACACATCAGTCATCGAGAGCGTGAAGATCTTTTGTATTGCCGAAACAATTGAGCAATGTAAAGGTTTGTTAAACCGACGTCCTGCTTCTAACAAGTATGGCTTGACGTGGGGAAACGAGAACACCCAGTAAGCGCGGAACGCCCTACAGGGGAAGAACTGAGTTCTGTTGATCCTCAAAGAGGTAGAGGGTAGCAGGACCCAGCCCCGAAGAGCAGCGTGCTCTTGAACAAAGAACATGTGTGCAAACCGGGTTTGCTGGTCGTAATAGCGATCGGGAAGGACTTTGATCAGCCATGAAAAATCCATATCGATTTTGAGGTGTCAGGCAAATATGCTCGACGCTCCACGATTGAAGGAAGTCAACTGTATGCGGAGGCGCTGAAAGAGCGGCTGAGTGACACCGCCACTGTTCTCTTAGCGACGGGGACTTGTGTGTCACTGTGCCAAGGGTCCCTGTGGACCTCGGGGTTAAGTTTCCTGACTTTGATAGCGTGAAAAGCTGCCTAGTCTTGGACTTGGATGATGACCTTAAACTTGGTATGGCATTGTTGGAACATCATGATCCATGGATTGATTGAAGGTCGAAGACATTGGGCGCTACGCGCACGTCTTTTGGTGAAACTTTGGTGAGTAAAGAACCCACATCTGCTAGGAAGCAGAAGCGCTATTGGCTCAAAGCCGTTTGTGATTCACACAGATCATGCGTCATTACGCACTGCGACTCAGTCGCCTCACCTCTTGGAGAGGATGGCCTGGTGGCTGTCATTATTTGCAGAATATAACTTCGAGCTAATGTATAAGTTAAAAAATCAGAATGCTTTGGCTGATGCGTTGTCACGCAGACCGACTGTGAGCCTCCTCATGTCACGACGGTAAAGTCATCAGTAACGGATTTGATCCGCGCCGCATATGCGGGTGATAATATGTGTGTAGCCTCGCTACAGGCACTCGGGAGCAAGATATTTGGAAACTCGGAGAAGAAATTATCGGCGCGTTTGCGCGCACGGTTACACCGATTTCGTTGAGTAACGGACCTCGATGTTATAACACCAATTCAACGGATACGCCACGGATCGGGTTCCTCACGATGAGGATTTGAGATACTGTTTCCCTATGAGGCCCACGACAACCCACTCAGTGGTCATCTCGGTCGTGAGAAGACGTACTGCTCGGTGAGTTGCCGCCACTGGTGACCCAAGCTGTATAAATGGACGAGCACATATTTGTGCACGTGTGAGACGTGTCAAAGGGTAAAACTCTCTTCGAATTCGGCGGCACCGCCGGTCATTTGTCGGTACCCTCCAGGTGTTGGCAGACCATGCGTATGGGCTTTGTGTCTGGTCTGTGGAAGGACTGGGTGGGCAACACGGGCGTGGTGGTCTTTGTGGACCATTTGAGCAAGATGGCTCATCTTGCGGCAGTGCCAGACACCATCGACGGTGTGAGTACATCGACACTGTTTGTAGATCGTGTCTTTCGATAACATGGCCTACCGGAGTCAATTGTCTCTGATAGAGACCCGCGCTTCACTAGGTCTATACAATCTTCAGGGAGCTGGGCACCAAGTTGACTATGTCAACAGTGGACCATACGCAGACCCATGGCCAGAGCGCGTAAATCGCGTCGTTGAAGACGTTTCTCGCAGCTTCTGCACTAGGACGCCGAAGCGCTGGAGCGTCATGTTGCCACTCGTAGAGTTTGTTCGGAATAATACAGTGCATTCATTCCGCCGTTCTACGTGAACGGACTTGCTAATCTTAGCGTCCCGCTGACGCCGCCATCCCATGGCTCAGGGCTTGGTGGGAAAAAAATAGCCGAGCGGCTAGCTGATGCCAGCCACCTCAACGTGCGTAAAGATAACTGAGACTTCCTGTCTATCAGACTGAGTGTTTTACGACACGTTTGCGAAGCGATGGCTGAAAGCCAAGACATACAGAAGGAATCGCAGACGGAAGAGGACGAAGAAATGTTAGAAACATTGAGGTTAGAGACCTGGTTTTATTAAATGCTAAAACCTTTCGTACACATGCAGTTGCTGCTGTTTTTCAGTCGAAGCTCCGTCCACGGTTTATTGGACGCTTAAAGGCTGTGGCCAAGCTAGGCCTTGCGTATATGCTGAACCTCCCGAGGTTTTATGTGGGCTTGCTTAAGCCGTACCAGGATCCTGCCCAAGTGAAAGCGGAAACGTTGGCGCCGGTGCGGCGCCCAAAGGCGCCCACCTAGAATCTCAACCAGCAACTGATTTTGAGCACGGAGTGCAACGATCTCCGTTTCTAGCGTCGCAAGGCGCTCCACCGTCGCACGAAGTGACGTATTTGCCTACTCAACGGCTAAAAGCCGCTCCGACAGAGCACGAAAATTCTCAACGTGAGGCAGTCGGTGCACAGAGTGCTCCAGGCTCTCGATGTCTCTCGCATAGCGGTAGGCGATCTCGGAGAGATGCTCGGCAGAGTGTCGATGACGACGAACATCGAGAACACGTGGAAGTTTGAGGTGCCACTTTGGCAAGACTGTCCAGACGTCGTAGACGCTTATGACCAAAAGGATCATGACGCTTCGCGTCGTCGTGCGCCAAACGCTTCTCGGCAGTAGCCCGGGAAGCCGTGGGGCCATGAGCTGAGCTCGAGCTATGGTCCTGAGCTGTTGCGGTTATAGTCTCACCCGTGTGAGAAACCACAGAGCTCGCGGGAGCATTATAGAATGTTCCGTATGTCGCAGGGCGACAATAGGCAGGAAGTCGGTTACGCCTTGAGTTTGGCAAACTCAAATCGGAGACGGCGCTAAACGCGCACGTCCACTTCCGTGTGATTTCGCTATAAGGAAGACAGCGAAAACAGCTTATGATGCCGCTGCACCCATCACCCAAAGAGTTCATCATCTTCTGCAGCGGTTTTGCTAGGGGTGAGCACCACAGGGACGGTCCACACTGGGGGTACAGGGGCGCCTCTGTTTTGAGCTCAAAGTCAAGCGCGGTACCGATCGATTGAGATCTCTTGTGGTGCCAAGAAGCGAGCTCGCAGAGCTTTCCTCAGATCAAGCCCAGCTTGTGTTGTGGTTTGGGGCCCGACTTCGTAGACACCTAATGATCGAGTGATCGCGTCTTTTGCTTCAGTAGCGGGATCCGTCAAGTGGAAGCCGCATTCCACACGAGGGTCCAAGACCAAACGTGGATACGAGCGCAGGAGAGCTGCCCTATGAGCAGCCTTCAATTGCTGCTCCTGTGCCTCGTCGAGGTGACTGGTAATAATACCACTTTTCTCGGAAGAGGTCGGGGGAGGGACATAAGGTGTCCGCAAGTTTGAGCCGGGCTCACGTCGCGCCATTGGCGACGTCATCTTCCTGTCTTGCCATGCTGGGAAAGGAGTATTCAACTCGTAGTCGACTTGCTTCAACTCCGGGACTGGAAATCCGTCACCCGGGGCTGGCGCGGTGTGTTGCCGAGGGCTTGGGATGTCGCGGACTTAGTATTTAAAGATGCACCCTTTGCAGAAGAAGAAGGGCTTTACCTGTGGGCGCCCTGGAACCAGCTAGGCTGGGTCTTTTGCGTGTCATCGACACAGGGCTCATAGAGCGGAGACAATTTAAAGTTGTTCCTAGGAACGTCAAGGTGTCTAAGACACGCGAGCCTCGTATGAGACGACCGTCAAATGTGAATTGAGGACATTTATAATTCTAATGGGGAAGAGTATAACGGGGTTACACGTACTTGGTGGTAGCGGATTACGATCCGCTGCACTCGTATTGGTTCTTGGAAAGAACCTAAGGTTGGTGACCTTAGCTTAGCTTCCTCTAAGCAAAGCGTTACGGCAGCCCCGCTGCACTTACTCACTCCCAGTCGATCGTGCTGCAACAAACAAGGAGCGTAACCATCTTTTGGATGTTTTCTTGACTCGAGCAGTAGTCAAATTTTCAGTGGGCAGCAAAACAGAATAGAAGCCTGTTTTATCCCTGTTATAACTTTGGTCATCCTTAATAATCTTTTCAAGTTTTTTTCAATGCTTTTAAATCATAAGAGTTGTTGTTATCGACATCACCGCCTTCACGATGAAGAAGAGTTGATTCAAGTTCTCTTCTTGTACAAAAAATCCCGTACCAGCCCCAACTAGCTAGAAATTTCTCGCAATCAGCCATCGTTTCCGCAATTCGTTTCGCTTGAACTGTCATCACCGAGGGCAAAAGATCAATAGAGAGCCTTCGGCAACATTCAGTGAGCTCGTAACGTTTGTCTTCTAAAAAACTGTTGTTTCCCAATCCGAATAACCTTCTCTCTCAATGTGACTTCCATGTCAATTGCTCGAGATATAATTCTCCTTCTGCAACCTGAATATTACGAGTGGTGTTGGCGTTAACACCATACTCTCTCGCTAGGCTCCGCATGGAAGACTTTTGTCGTCGGATAAGGCAAGGTGCGGACTTTGCAAAATGATTACTGTACAACAGTTACGGCATATGTAGAATACTGAATGACTCCTAGGTTACTTAAGATTATCAAACAATCACATCGAATTTGACACTTACCAAGTATCTCTCGCGACTTAAGTACGATATCACTATTTCAATGAAAAATTAGAAATTCATTAGCTTTTTACTTGCTTTGATGGGGGCGTACGATGCGCTGGCGGTGGCGCAAAGTGCTCAGCTGTACCTATTGGTGGGAATTCTAGGTTGTATTGTGTACCTAGTCTTGGTGCTTTCATTTTTTCTTGTGCCAAATATCAAGGCACAGCATCCAGCTGCCAATCTCGTAGTTTGGCACGCGGGTTGTGGACTATTGATGTCTGCTGGTTTCGTCTTTGCTTATGTGCTGCAGTGGCGAGATGATGAACTTCAGGATGAAATTCTAATTCAGTGGCAGTGCTCACTATTGGGACCTTTGAATCAATTTTTTCTTTTGGCCGGCGCCTGTTGGTATCTCATGCTTTCGCTTGACCTGCTCGTTGCGCTTGTGAATCCATGGATGGGCTACAGCTGCAAGTCATGGACCTACCATATCATGTACGTGTCACACAATTGGCGTTGAAGCTGCAATTACTGAATGAAGACTGTTCGCTTGTGCTGTGTTACTGTAGAGTATGGAGTGTTAGCGCCGTGTCGGCTTTGTTGCTGCACCAATTGAAACTTTTTGGTCTCTCACCACTTAATGTCTGCTGGGTCAAGCGCACTAAAGATCCAATGCAGCTCAATGTAGCCAACTGGATTTTTCTCTTTGTTATTATAGGGGCCATCTGCGTACTTTCATTTGCGGTGCTATTGTTTGCAAGCTTTCGCTTTGTGAGACGCCAATTGGATGTCACATATCGCGCCAAGCGCCGCAATTTAATCCAGTACTATCGCTATTTACTAATTTTCGCCGGTCATTGGACAGCATGTGCCGCGCTATACTACGCAGCATATCGCCAACATTTTGACGGTAAAATGGCGAAGCACTTCGAACTCGCGTTTGCGCTGGTGTTTGGATCGTACCCAGTGTTACTACTTGTCGTGTGGGTGCTTAATACGGAGTTGTACCAAAATTTTTCCAGTGAAAATAGCCTGTCAATATCGGAGCGAGGAATGGGAGACGCGTCAAGTACAGAACACTTCAGTGCTGCACTTCGTAAGGATTTAATGCGGTACACGACTGCGGGAATTCGCTGTAGCATTACTGAGTCGCCTGTCGATAGTCTACGATCGCCGTTATTAAGTCTGACTCGTGATCGCTTTGGTTCACTTGATCGTACAGCAGCTCTGTCATTTTTACAACTGGAAGAAGGTGATTCTGCTGGTCTTTACCACGAAAAGAAACGCTTAGCGACCACAGTGTACAATGGTGAGTATCGGTATTACGAGAAGCTGGGCTTTACCGACTATGCACCTAAAGTATTTCAGAATATACGAGAAATTTGCGGCATTGACAACGACATGTATGAGCAATCGTTCGCTGATACTCTTCTCGAGCGTGCATCTGAGGGTAAATCGGGAATGCTGTTTTATTTCACAAGTGATCGCAAGTATCTGGTAAAGACTATGACAAAGAGAGAGCATTCTTTTTTGCTTGAAGTACTTCCACTATTCCATCAGTACCTCTTAAAACAGCCGAATTCGCTTTTGTGCCGCTTTCTTGGTTGTCATTCGATGCAACTCCCTGTTGGCTGGAACAAAATGTTTTTTGTCGTCATGGAAAACATTTTTCCAGATGGTCCTGTTGACGAGCGTTATGACCTTAAAGGTATTTTCCACCAGTCCAGCTTGAATTACCAAGAAGGCGTCCCAACCCCAATATCGAGCAGCTGGAGTCGAAGTGGCAAAGAAGACGAAGAAGTAATGCGACACGGTCTGGATGAAGATGTGTCAAGTGAGAGCCTTAGTGTCGATAGTGAATGGGGACAATTTACAGAAAAGCAACCGCTGCTACGTCGTGGTAGTTCCCGTCCTTCGCTTCGATATGATAGCGACTTTGTGATTCGCCGTGCCTCGCTACGTGTAAGTCCAACGACTCGAGCAAACTTACTCGCACAGGTTACAAGCGATTGTGGATTTCTCCAGGAGTTAGGAATCATGGATTATAGCTGCCTGCTCGGTATTCGCCATTACCATCGTCGCATTGAACCAGAGATTCTGGAGAATTTAGCACACAATGCTGTCGTTTCAGCCAGTCAGTCCACCGTCTACTATCTCGGATTTGTAGACATCTTGCAGCACTACAATATTGGATGGAAAATGCAACATTGCTGTCTGGCAACAATAGTTGACAAGCGGCAGCTAACTGCACTTCCACCTGCAGAGTACGCTCTTCGATTTTTAAATTTTATTCACGAGTATCTACTTCGAGATCCAGATGGATTGCATGTTCGCTCATACGGAAGCATTGGAGTCTCGCCTTTAAGTTTTGTACGTCAATAAGGACTCTTCTCAATTGCTCGAAATTATTCAAATCTTCAAATTTAAGTCGTTAAAGCGGACGACCAGCAAAGATTCTGCGTCGTCAGCGTGTATCGCGCAATAAATGGTGAGAGCGTATGCATGACCAAAATTATAATGCTCATCATTTTGTGGGGAAATGGCGAACCGAAATTGAAAGCTCGACAAATTTGAGTAATACCCGCACATGCAGATCATTCGAGATTGATAGCGCAAGCTAAAGGAGCTGTGCACTAACCATTTCCAAAAGTCAGGCGTTTGGCAACTGCAATTACATCCTGGAATCGCTTACACTGTAGCCGGAACATTTTCACAAGTCCAAACGTTCGCTGAGAAGCTGTCCATGATTTCTTTGTCGATAATTTTTTCTTGCAATGCAGTTGTTTGGCTGGCTGCTGTAGCAAACAAAATAAGTGAGAGTAATATCGGCAGCGTATTGTCAAAATTGTAACGGGTTTCTAGCGTCAAATTCCAGCTTTGTACATCGCTTTAACTCTCACTGCCTAGCCGAGGATCATAGCGAAGATTAAAGAACTCAGCCAGAATTGCACCTTTAGCTACCTATAAAAGTACTTTGGGATTTCTAGTTCTATCTATCGTGATAATTGCTCGACTGCAGAGAAGCTTCCGTACTTCTGAGATAAAGATTCAGGCAAAACGAATTCCATCTTTATTGACCGAAGATATAATTTGATGGACTATCATCCATAAAAGAGGAGTGAAGTGTGGTATTATATATGTAAAGACATAATCCATAGAGCAAAACTGTAGAAGCACGATGCTTTTTAACCTGGAAAAATTTAGATAGATGCTTTTTATTTCTATACGGTAGAGGCACTACAGGATGTGATCTGTAGTGCCAGTTTTATGGACCCTAATGGTGGTAGCTGATGCAAGTGTCGTGGTTTGCGATTGCGTCTTCTAAGTCTGATATCCAGCTCTATGCTAGCTGTTTTTGTGACACACGATTAGACAATGTGCTATTAGCTTTCTATTTAAATGAACTTATGAAGATGCGAATTTTAAGATCACCATAATTAATTGCAAATGAACGTATATACTAATATTAGTAACAAGTGTATGTCGATAAATAACATCAAAAACATTACACGATGCCACCTTGCACTCGCCTCATTTATCGAGCCAATTCTAAGACTTTGGAACAGTTTTTGATTTGTGGGAAGCGAGACACGCTTATTTGGAATTGGCAGCAGAAATATCAAAAGCATATCAGTCAAGAACTATATCGCACTGAAGTTTATTTGTACAAAAAACCAAATGTCGTCACATTTCCTTCTTCGTCCATTCGCCGAACATGTGTTGGTAATCTTCTAGTTGGCGCTGTACGACAGGAAGGTCAAAAATTAGTATCCTTGACATGATAGCAACATTCTTATGTACTACTTTCAGCTGGTTGTTTTCCTCCAACAGACGTAGATATGCTTCTGCCTGACTGTCCGTCTGACGCTTAAGTGCTCTAACCCAGAGAGTAGCAAAATTGATGAGGAGCGACACAAAAGCACAAAAGTCAAATAGCAACCCACTCTAGCTCAATTTCTCTCGTTTGAGCTTCACCTAAAGCTCCACGCAGACATAATTCTAGGCCACGAGCATAAGCGTCGGCCGCCTTTTTGTACGAGGCCATACCATACAAAGCCTTCCCCTTCCTAGAGTACGTTTTTGCCCACTCTGGGTCCAACTTAATGGCTGCGTCAGCATCTGCCTTTGCCAGTTGGTACTGCCCTAAGGCGCAATAGGCTGCCGATCGGTTGCTATGTAGCGTGGCTGTGGCCTTCTGTTCAATGCCCAGCGAGTACTCGCGGATAGCTGCCTCAAAGTCTTTGGATTTAAAAAAATCATTACCGCGATTTTTATGCCGCGAATCGTCTTCACTAGATGGCGCACTACGGCCCTGAGCTGTAGATGCAGATAGTTTGGCATTTATGGATGGAGCGGCCCTCGTTGTTGACCCGAACAACCACTCCATTTACGCCTTAAAATTTACTCTATGTTCAGCTGTGCATAAAAACTTCATGTAGAGTATTTCGTCATTTTCTCACAGAATTGTAGACGTTTCGACGCATGTAAAGTGCAGACAATCGTTGTAATTTTCATGGCGTAAAATCGTTGATTTTCTGCAAAATGGTGGGTTGTCATGCAAGAAATTGACCAGCTGACATTGTTCGTGCCTTTCCTCGTGAAATCGAGAACCAGACACCAACAGACTTTTGCATACAAACATGGTGAACATTCAGCAATAAAGTGTTTGTACGATATGATACTAAGAGGCAAGGTGCACTTTCCAGAAGTGCAGAATTGCTAAACTCTGTCATTGAGATCTCACTTTTTCATTAGAGCAGAAGCTGATAAATGCGCGTGTCCATCGCTCTTATCATCATCGCTATCGCAGCTCTAGCGTCCGCCACCCTTGACCCCTGCAAAACCAATACCAATAAGCGATGCCTCGTTCGTACGAACTGCAAGGCAGCCGAACCGTCCAAAACTATTCAAGCTGCAGAATGTTCACACAATACTCGAACGCATGAAAAGCAGGTCTTTGCTGTTTTTGTCCGAGATCATAAATTTGATGGCAACCACGGCGCCCCGTACGGTATTTGTCATGCGTACACTTGCGACGAAACTTTCACGATGAAAACGAAGGAAGGTGAAGACTGCTGGATGTTTTTCTGGAAGTGAGTAGCATTTATTTTCAGTTTTTTGAACGGAGCAATTGCACTAATGTAGTGGTGTGTGTGAGCAGTGGTAACGGCACGAACAACGGCACTGGGACCGGTTGCATCAGAGATCCTCTATCAGGTCAATGTGGTTGCGAAAGATCCAGTGACGGAAAGTTTTTCGCTGGCAAGACCGACTGCAAATGAAAAGTCGTATATTCATTTATGTTTTATTGTCGAGTGAATGACAATTTTTGCGTCCCCATTTGGTAATGTTGTTAGTCGGGTCAAAACGGAGAAAGCTTATCCTATTTGTGTGTAGTAGTCATGTCCACATTTCCTTAAGCCACTAAATGCAGCAAAACTTTTGTCATTTTTGATCCAACATTCTTATGAAGAATGTTATCGAAAAACATTTGCCTTTGAATTTGATTTTTTTTCTAATACTATTCACCAACCACCTTTATTTCTTGATTTCCTATAGAACTTCCAATCGCAATTTTGAGCACGCAAAGCTGAGCACATACAATGCCTAATCTTATAGTACAGAATCAAATATTACATGAACAATGTGTGTTTAATGCATTTGCTTTTTTTTCGTCACACCAAAACTTTATCCCGAACTTTATCTGCTCAACTTCGAAGAGTAGATCGGTCGCCGTGCGCCTCGCACGAAGGAAATTTGGCTCGACAAGCTTCCTTAAATTGGGAGCTGATTCGAGGGCTCTCATCTTAAGGTTACGTATATAATTAAGTCTGAATTAAGTTTAACCTATATTTACAGTACCATCTGCAATAGTATACCTCATGTAATACCTAAGGTGAGACTAGCAGCCCACGTACCTACGTATCACTCCTTACAAGGCCATCAGTACCGGTTCCCTGGGTATTCCAATATAATACGAATAGTAAAGTGTGTTCTGCAGGTGAACTTTGTCCAGGAATTGCGTACTCTCGTTGCCAGTATGACAGCCGATCCTCTCCCCGAGGCGGTCACAGAAAGCGTCTTTATGGAAAGCCCTCGCACTGGCGTGGTCAGAATGAATGTCTTCCGTGTGCATCAGTCTTCTTTTGAAAAAGCGGTGAATGTGTCATTGAATGCCAAATTTAGCTTTAAGTCGGCACGACTTGGTTGGAATGAACACCGTCAGAGCTCGTCGAGCGGGCCTGATCCAATGGATCTCAGCTATGCTGAGAAAGAGAGGAAGAGCTCCGAGTACCGGGCAGCGTTCGAACACCCGACGGTGTTTTGCTGGTCGTGACAACGACAATGAAGGGCTTTAAAAGCCATGGAAGATCCTTATCGATTCCGGGGCGTCGAGCAATTATGCTCGACGCTTCACGACGAAAGGAATTCCGCTGTATGCTGAGGCGCTGAAAGGGCGGTTTAGTGACATCGTCACTGTTCGCTTGGCGACATGGACTTGTGCCACTGTGCCGAGGGCCCCTGTGGACATCGGTGTCAAGTTTCTTGACTTTAATAGCCTGGAATGTTGCTTAGTCTTAGACTTGGATGCAAGATACGACCTTAACCTTGGTATGGCATGGTTGCAATACCATAAACCATGGAGTCGAAGACCTTGGGCGCTACGCGCATGTCTCCTGATGGAGCTTTGATGAGTCATAAACCCAGCTCTGCCAAAAAGCAGGAGCGCTATTGGCGCGGGTATTCGACCGGGATGGTCAATGTGCTGAATATTGGGATATCGAGCTGTCAAACACCGAGGGTGTATCGGACAAAAGTCCCAAGCATGGCTCGCGGACAAAACGTGGAGTGGCACGTAACCCACTGAGCACTGCTCAAGTTACAAAGCAGTTGCTGCATGCCAAGAGTGGCATGGTCGGCCAAAAACCGAGGCATCGAGCGCGAAGCCCCATTGATGTACATAAAGTGGCATGTAATCCACTGAGCACTGCTGAAGTACCAAAGAAGTTGCCAGGAGTGGCATGGTCGGACGAGGTCCGAGGTATCAGGCCCTAGTGATGCGAGTGAAATGGCGCGAGATCCACTGCGGAGCTAGAGCTCTTCGTCGGATGTTGTTAAATATCATCAAGGCTCCGATGGAGCAGGGAGTGGGGACACTGGACGACGCTGAGTGCGTGTTTCCACTAGTCTCGATGAGACGTAAATTCTCCACAGAGAGGGGACGACGATGCCGTATGTTATTTGCAAGATGCAGGGCGTCGACCCTGACCCAAGGTGTGTCTACCGCAGACGATAGTGCACAGCTATACACCCTCGTCAACGGTATGACGGGGGAGGAAGACGGTGACGTCATCCTCGAGGCTAATCCCGCGATAGATGCTCTTCTTGAGATGGATGAGATGTCTTTCGAAGCGTTTGGCGGTGCCTTGAAGGCAGGCAATTTAGCCAATGTGGTCATATAAAACCGGTCAACAAGATTAACTCGTTGTGACTTCTGAATGAAGCTGTCCTGGAGGACACTAAGAGGGTGCTGGACGCACGAAGTCGATCGTCGATCCTGATAGATCTTTCGGATCTATATTATCATTTGGTAAACGAATTTCTAGACATCGTCGTTAATGATTCGCCGTCAGTATTACCTCTGGACCGAGGTGTGCGTACCGGGTTTCGGGAGCCAAATACTGCATAACATGCCAATGGTCCCTGCCGAATAAGCAGTGTGACGTCATTGATGCCTCTTTCGGTGTAAAGCACGAGGCAAGAATGGTGCGTGAAAGCAAGTCCCCCCATTCGACACCCACGTTTTGTGTCCGGAAGCCGAAGGACAAGTGGCGTATTGTTCACGCTTACAATTAGCTAAACGCTGCCAAAGACGCTGATTCTAGGAAGGATGTTCCCAGAAAAATATGGTTGGATGTACAAAGTACAGTGCGCTCGACTTGGTCGTTGTGTATTCCAATTGCTCATGAGAGCGAGTGGTATTCCGCTGATAGCGGTGAGAACTCCGAGCTATTTTCTGTGATGCTCCAAGGGTTGTCAAATGCACCAGCAACGTTTAATCGTTTTGTGACGCAATTATTCAGGCCCCATCGGGCGTATAAACAGACAAACTTTGACTAAATCCTCGTCCACAGTTGTGCGAGACACGGGAGGACAAATGAGGAAAACCATATCATCCATTTTTAAGAGCGGTGCTCGAAGGCATGCGCCCGAATAAGCTTTATGTCAATGCCGACAAGAGCATCTTCGGCGCGGAAGAAACCCCCTTTTAGGGTGCTTCATTGGAAAGCGTGGCTTTCAAGCGGATCACGCTAACGTCATGGTCATTGTGAACTGGCCGGTTCCAAAAAACTAAAAGGACTTGCGCAAGTGGCTTGGCCTCGCCAACTACTTGCACACGTATAGCGCAAATTATACGGAATCGGCACGGTCATTGTCAAATCTCCTTAAGAAGATAAGGAATGGTGCGAGGACACCGAGCATCGGGGGGCTTTTGGCAGGGTCAAACACAGCCTCCTTCATGCACCAATACTGACATTGCCAGACATCCTTTTAGTGTCTTCTGGGACGCTTCGAACTTTGCCATCGGCTGCGCGCTGCTGCAAGCAGACGCCGAGGGGCGAGATCGGGTGATCGCGCTCGAATCTTGCCAGCTCAAGGCTGCGGAGAAAAACAACCCAGTCCATGACAAGGAATAACTTGCGATGAAGTATGCACATGGTAAGTACAGTGCTCATCTACTTGGCTCAACGCCGTTTGTGATCCACACAGATGATGCGTTGCTACGCACTACTACTCAGTCGCCTCACCTCCCGCAGAGGATGGCCAGGTGGCTGTCATTCTTTGCTGAATATAACTTCGAGGAAAAGTATAAGCAAAAAAATCAAAACGCTTTTGTTGATGCGTTATCACGCAGACCGACTGTGAGCTTGCTCATGTCATGAGGGTAACGTCATCAGTGACGGATTTGGTCCGCACCGCATATGCGGGTGATGATATGTGTGTAGCGCCGCTACAGGCTCGCGGGAACAAGGAATTAAGAAACTCGGAAAAGAAATTTTCGGCGCGTTTGCGCGCACGATCAGACCGATATTCGTTGAGTAACGGACCTCTGTATTATAGCACCGATTTAACGGATACGCTACGGATTGTGGTTCCTGATGAGGATTTGAAGTACCGTATCTTCTATGAGGCCCACGACAGCCCACTCAATGGTCGTTTCGGTCGTGAGAAGATGTACAGGTCGGAGAGTTGCCGCTACTGGTGGCTCAAGCTGTACAAATGGACAAACACATATGTGCGCACGTGTGAGACGTGTCAAAGGGTGAAATTTCACTCTGAATGCGGCGGCACCGCTGGCCAGTTTATCGGTATCTTTCGGGTCTTGGCAGTCCATAAGTATGGACTTTGTGTCTGGCCTACGAATGACTCGGCAAGCAACTCGGGGTGTTATGGTCTTCGTCATCCGTTTGAGCAATATGTCTAATCTTGCGGCAGTCCCGGACACTATCGACATATGGGTACAGCGACGCTGTTTGTGGATCGTGTCTTACAATAACATGGACTCCCAAGTCAATTGTATCTGATAGAGACCCACGCTTTACTGAAAAGTTTCGGTCGACGATTTTTAAGGTACTGGGCATCACGGTAAATACGTCAACAGCTGACCATCCGCAGACTGATGACAAACTGATCGCATGAATTGCGTCGTTGAAGACGTTCTTTGCAGCGTCTGCGCCGGGACGCCGAGGCGCTGTAGCGCCATGCTGCCATTTGTAGTGTTAGCTGTGAAGAAAGCAGTGCACGCGTCTATCGGCTACACGCCGTTCAGCGTGAACGGGCTCGTTCATCCTCGCCTTCCTCTGACACCGCCACCCCATGGCCTAGGGCTTGGTGATGGAGGGATAGCCTAGCGGCTAGCTAATGTCAGCCCCTCACTGCTTGTAAAGATGTCGATGACTTCCTGTCTACCAGACTGAGTGTTTTAGGACACGTTCACGAAGCGATGGCTGAAAGCCAAGTCATGCAATACGAATATGCAGACGGACACGCTGAACCTTCCGAAAAGGATGCACACCCACCCGGTGATTTATGTGGTTTGCTTAAGCCGTACCGGGTTTCGGCGCAAGTGAACGCGGAAGCGTTGGCGCCGGGGCAGCGTTTAAGGACGCCAGGCTACCTAGAAGTTGAACTAGCAGCTGGTTTTGAGAATGGAGTGCAACAATCTCTGTTTCCGACGGTGCAAGGCACTCCACCGTCACACAAAGTGACATATTTCCCTGCCCGTCGGCTAGGAGCCGCTCCGACAGGGCACAATAATCCAAAACGTGAGGCAGTCAGCGCACAGCGGTAGTCGACTTCTGAGAGATGCTCGGCAGAGTGCCGAGAATGACACACCTTGTCCTCCAAGGCTTGAGGAGCATCGAAAGTCACCGGATGGCGACTGAAC